TTAGACTATTGTTGAAGTGCTCCTTGTAAGGCGTCATGAGCCATGGGAGTAAGGGTAGGCTGGGTCTCCCAGGATCACTATAGGCATTTCAACATCCCCCTGCATGTAGCTTTCTGTACAGGCCAGTGTTCCTGAAGAAGAGTGCACCATGCGCCTTCCCTGACTATCCCGCACTGATGTCTGGGAAACGACTCGGGTGATCCACAAGCACCTGCAATGCCATAAAGAAGTTGATGTACTCTGTCACAAGACGGTCTGGGGTCAAAATTGGGATATTGCCCTGCTGCAGTTAGGGAATTCCATTGCTGCAAAGCCATCCCCTCTTTCACACATATTTCCAAGCGTCACGGTTCTTCGTAGCAGGAGGTGATTAATGTCCCTGCACACTTGCGGGAACGCAACCCCCACGGTGGACTTCCCAACTCCAAACTGATTCGCAACTGTAGCAGTCTGGAGTTGCCAGCTTCCACACACTGATCCCCACTCATTTTTCCACTGCTGGGACAGCTCTCATTTTGGTTTCCTTGTGCCAGGGATGCGGGAGGAGGGTGTGAGCTCCGTCCACAGTTCAAGGAAGTGGCTTTGCGCATATGAAAGTTCTGCAGCTACTGCTCGTCATCCCAGAGCTGCATTACAATCCGATCCCACCACTCGGTGCTTGTTTCCCAAGCCCAATAGCGACGGTTCGCTGTGTGCAGCTGCTCTGTGAATGCCAACATCAATCTTGAATTGTTTCTTTCCATGGCACACAGCAGGACAAGCACCATGGATTCCTGTTCAGAGTCACAGCTCATGAAATACTGCAGGATCAGCCGTGTTGTGTTCATAACACTCATGACAAAACTGGAGAGCAGTGCAGGATCCATGCTTTTAGGAAGAGATGACGGGCACAAAGTTCACAGGGGCAGTTGAAAAACAGCACGAAACTGTCGGAAGTCCTTGGAATTATGGTATGGGAAAAAATGCATCATGGGGGCGGTGATCCCGTCCCAGGATGCCTAGCGGGAGAAGGTGGTGATTTGCACGGTGGGATAGCTACCCATGGTACACTGCTCTCTCTGTCAGTGCTAGAGCACCAACTGTGGACGCGCTCCGCCAACACAAGGAGCATGGTGTGAACATGCACAAGCAATGTAATTACAGCCATTTATGATCGTCGATGTAACTTAAGTCGGCTTCACTCTGTAGTGTAGGCATGGCCTTAGTCTCTTAGGGCTTGTTTACACTTAAAATGCGACGGCAGCACAGCTTTACTGCTGTAGCGCTGCACTGCAGACACTCCCCATGGCGATGGGAGGGGTTCTCCCATTGGCGTAGGTAATCCACCTCCCCAAGAGTTGATAGTTAAGTCAACGGAAGAATTCTTCCATCATAGAATCATAGAAGATTAGGGTTGGAAGAGACTTCAGGAGGTATCTAGTCCAACCCCCTGCTCAAAGCAGGACCAACACCAACTAAATCATCCCAGCCAGGGCTTTGTCACTGTCTACACAGGAACTTAGGTTGGCTTAACTATGCCGCACAGGGGTGTGGATTTTTCTCACTCCATAGCGACATAGTTTCTAGTGTAGACCAGGCTTTAGTGTGCTGTGAGAACAAATAGGCCTCCCCCACACCCTGCCAGGTAGCCATGGAAAATATAGGGGAAATCGAGGCACACACTGGGGTCATAAAAATATTACAGAAGATTCCCACTTTATCACCCCCCTTCTACCCAATAAATCCCCAACCCTGACCCCCCTTTCTGCCCTCAAACCCCAATACCGATATTCCTTCCTAACAAGCCCCTACCAATGAACCAACAAAAACTTTGTGAAACAAGTCAACCTAACACACCCAAACCCTACCGCAAGCAGAGCTGTGATCCCATCAAGGGAGACGGGCCAGAGAGAACACAGAGTCCACTAGGGACTTGGCTATTGCTATGGAGTTGATGTGGAAAACGTTCAGATACTACGATGATGGGCCGCAGGATAAAACCATAAAGGTTTGTCTGCACTGTGGGGACTGCAGCAGTATAGCTACACCGCACTAAGCCCCTAGTGTAGATGCAGCCTACAGTGAGAGAAGGGGTTTTCCATGGCTGTAGGAATACTGCCCCCCTGAGTGGTGGTAGCATTCTTCTGTCGACCCGGCTGTGGCTACACTGAGGGTTAGGTTGGCACAGCTGAATCACTTGGGATTTCACCCCCCCGAGCACATAGCTAGGGGCTTTTCTATACTTGAAATGCTACAGTGACACAGCAGCACCTCAGTGTAGACACTACCTATGCCAACAGAAGGGCTTCTCCCTTTGGCACAGGGAATCCACCTCCCCGAGAGGCGGTACCTAGATGGACGGAATTCTTTCACTGTCCTAGCACTGTATACATGGGGACTTAGGGCAGCTTACCTACAGCGCTCTGGTGGATTTTTCACACCTCTGAGCAACATAGCTGAGTAGAGCTAATTTTCTAGTGCCGACCAGCCCTATGTCAATCTTAAGTGTAGGCCAGGCCTCAGATAGACAGGTAGGTTTTGTAAATGTCACTGTGCTAATTCTCTTCTCACACCAGTTTCACTGCATAGCCCCTGGTTCCCCATTGCCCTGCCCCTTAGCCAGATATCTGGAACCATGGAAACTGTGGGTGTGCAGCAGAATATGGTCAGCTCCAAGCATCCAAAAATCATGAGAATAAGCAAACAACCCCCCTTACATTTTTTTGGGTGGTTCTAAGTTGCTTTTTGCTTCTGAGCTGCTAGGTTGCGCTGTCACTATGTTGACAAGCTTTTTTCCACTACCATAAAGGATATAAACTGATTTTTCTTTTTAAATGAAAGTGTCTTCTCACATGACTCCAGAAGCTGGGGCTTGAAGACCCCCGCCCCCCACAAAATCCAAAAACATCAAGTATTGTGAGCATTGACAAAATGAAAATTGCTCCCAAATCCAAATGATGGCTTTCTGTACCCACTCTGCTGACTTCCCACTGGTGTTAACACCCACTAGGAAATGGAGAATCGGGCTCTCCGACTGCAGGGATGTAGCTCCAGATTTAGATGAGTGTAAACAAGAGGGAAATAAGTCCACTGTTGGTTAGCAGCCTAAGAGCTGGGCTACACTAGACAATTGGTGACAATTCCACACCCTCGAGTGACATAGTTAAGCTGACCTAAGCCCCTGTGCAGACAGCGCGAGGTTGATGGAAGGATTCTTCCATGGATCGAGCTACTATCGTGACGGGAGAACCCCTCCCGCTGGTGTAGGTAGTGTCTACACCAAAGCACTGCAGCAGCGCAGTTGTGCCACTGTAGCCTTTCAAGTGTATAGCTGGAGAGTTATGAGCTGGGAGCAGGTTTACCCCGATTTACATGGGAATAAATGGCCATGCAAAGGACAGGCCGGGGACAATCAGACCTGCAGATTTTGGAATACAAAGAATAATCAGTGCAATACAGAGTAGGGAGCTTGCCCATTCTCCTACCAGAGACACTCCCAGTCCTAAACTGTGCTTCAGAAACAGGCGAGACCATTTGGGGAGTTAGCACACAGACCTAGCTGGGCTTTAATCAGTGCAGAAACTGCTTGGTGAAAAGTGCTCATGCACTGAAGACCTAATTTACCCCAATGGAACTGCATCACCTCTATACCGCAGTGGCCTTGAGACTTCATGCCAAAATCCAGGTCAGGAGTTTCTCCAGCTGAGTTATGAAAAAAGAGCTCGGCAGTGGAAAGTGTCAGGGTATATGGAGAAATGTGAATAGTGCGTGTGGCATTGTATATCTCTCTGCTGCCATCCAGCCAAGGAGCACAAACACTCCAAGCTTTGGACAGTCATTAATTCATATTGCAGCCTCCCTGTGATGTAGAGCAGTCGCATTACCTCTCTTTTACATATGGGGAAACTGAGGCACGGTGACATGAGCAGAATGACCCAGTAGCAGTGCTGGGAATAGAACCCAAATCCCAGCCTCCCCATTCTAATTACTAGACATCACTGCCTCTAGTCAGCATCATCCCAACAACATCTGCACACCAAAGATGCAGCCTGGGAGCCAAGCATTGGACAGACCCTGGGGAAGAAGCCCATCTCCTGCTCTGCCTCTGGGCTGGGATCCGCGAGCACCAGGGAGTGCCACTCTGTGACGTATCACCATGCTGATGCCTGCCAGCTGCAATCCCATTATGTATTGATCGATATCAATCAGAATAGTAACTGGATAAGTGATAACAGTAAATCGAGCTCAGGATGGAGACTGCTGGACCAAATCATATTTTCCCTTCCCCACACCCAGCCCTGCTCCAAAGCTAAAATCTAGCAGCAGGAGGCGGTGGCCTCACATCAGTAGAAGTGACACACGCCTAGAGATGGGACCAGCTGCCAAATGTAGATCTGGTTTTGGTACACACTGCCTTGCAGGTCGAGGGGTCAGGGTCACCCCGTTAGTAACTCAGGCCATTTTCAAACTTCAAATAGGGATTCAAATGTCAACCTTCAGATCTGGGGGAGTGGTTCTGACCCAGGCCAACATTAACCAAGGAACAGGAGAGTGCTAACGAGCAAGCCCAGAATTCATATTTGGACATGCACCTGGTCGCCTCCAGCCTGGACTGGGGAGTCCGGGGGTCCCCCAGGCCAAAGTGCAGGAAGGGGGAGTCTTGAGCCAATAGGTTGGCTCTCCACGAGCTAACATCTACTCCTGGTAGCCAGGAGCCCCCCACCGCCCCCAGGCACTGGGCAGCAGTCGGGGAGTGTGTCCGTTTACTGGACTGCATGGAAATGGAGTCCAGGCATCAGCCAGATGCTCTCAGGGAGGGGCGAGAGCTACTGTACACCCCAAGTCAAGCCTCTTTGGGGCCAAATTCCTCCGCCAGCACCACAGGTGCCGGCAGTGGGAGATGCACCCGAGGCGGAGCAGCCCTGGCCCCTGCCTCAGCCAGGACCGCCCAGAGCGCTAGGCGAGCGCCGTGCCCCAGCTGAGCGCCCTGCGATGGGACATCACACGGGAATCCAACTCACACATCCTTGGCGGGCAGGCCCCGTCCTTCCACCACTCTGAAATGCAGGGACGTGTTCCGGGCCATCCCCCGCCCAAACTCGGGTCTGTTCTCAGCGGCGGGGCGGATCGTCCCTCGGAACCATCGGCTCGGATCCGGGGTCCTGTCTGTCTCTCTCGCCGGGGGAGTGTGGTGGGGCTCTGTGCCTCGGGGCGCTCTGCTCCTGCCTCTCTTCTGGCTCCTGCCTGGCTCCGAGCAGAACAGCAGCTGCTTTAGCAAAAAATCAAGTCTCGCGTAGAAACGTGTCTTGCCAGTGCCACGCCAGGCAGGTGAAACCGACCAGCCCGTGCCAAAGCCTCCAGTCGCGGTGTCAGTTTCAGTTCAAAGCGCCCATGCGGCTTCTCTGTGCATCCCCAGCCTTCCAGCAGGCTGCCCGAGCGGGCGCTAGTAGCGGCAGACAGCGCGAGCTGCGGCTAGAGGATCAGAGAACCGCTCCGGCAGCGACAGAATCGTGTCTGCAGCCACAGGTTGCCGGGGAGAGCTACACCCGCTAAGGAGGCGGAAGCCGGCAGAGTGGCGCTCCCCTGCCCCCTAGCTGCAGCCAGGGGAAATGCTCCCTTCCCGGCCAAAGGGGGAGCGAGGGGCAGCGGTCCCCTTCTGCACCCTCCTACCTCAGCTTCAGTGAATTAACATGCACTTCAAGCTGCACCTGCCTGCAAACGAGCCTCTTCCCTGACAAGTGTCTGGGCTTGGCTCACTAAGTAGAATCAGGGCTTGTATTCCAAAGGCTGGGGAATCACCCAGGTTTAAAATGACAGAGCCAGGTTGGTAGCAGGATTGCTCGCCTCCATCTCTCTGCCCACTCACCTGCCCCACTCCCAGGCTTGCAGTTTGCATTGGGACTGTGCTTGCCATCACACCAGCATTTCGCCTGGGTGCTGGCAGCCAGCCGAGAGTTTGAGACAAGCTGGCACTGTACTAATTACCCTTGAAAGGGATTAACAAAGTCCCAAATGCCACCCCAGCCGGGAAAAGCAGAACACTCATTAGCTCTTCCCATCCCCTCTCAGGTCTCCCTGGGCACCATTACACTGGGCACTGCCTAACTCCATGCCACTTCATCTCACCTTCCCCCCAGGGAAGTCAAGCTGCTTTATAAACACACAAAAAAGCCCCACAGCCCTCTGTGCAGCATCAGTATCCCGATTTTATAGATGGGGAAACTGAGGCACGGGACGAGGCCATGCCTTGTCCAAGGTCACCCACCAGAGCAGTGGGAGAGCTGGGAACAGAACCCAGGTCCCCAGCTCAGACCTTATTCACAAACTATCCTCTCTGCAAGAAAAAAGGGGCCAGTTTCTGCCCTCGGTTGCACTGGAGTCATCCCAGCAAAGCTCCTGCTGCGTTAACCAGGAGTTGCTGAGGATGGAATTTGGTCCGGGAGGGAGGAAGCCCAGGTGCATTTATTGAAGAACACTGCTATGCAGTCAGCAATCATGTGGCCACCAAAAGCTTTGGTGGGGCGATAAGCTCGCCAGTGATGGACACAGATGGAATGTGCAGCTTTAAGGCCCTAGCTAGAGATCAATCCGGATGGCTCTCGATCAGCCGAGATTGGCCATGATGATGATGGAGGAAGTCCAGGGATGTGTGTATGCGGGAGTGGGAGGGTTATTACCCTTGGGGTGCACCGTCCCAGTGTTTCTGCTGCAGCTCTCACTCCCCTACGCTCTGCCTCTGCACCTGATACTCATAAATCTACCAGAAGAATAGCTCCTTTGCCCACCTCCACAGCCCGCTCTGCCATCTGCCGCCTGTTGGAGCTGAGTGATGACAGGTGGACTCTGCTTCAGTGCCAGCTTACCCCGCTGTAAGTGGGGAGTAACTCCACTGGAGTTACTGGAGTCAGTGGAGTCACGCTGAGGTGCAGCAGGCCAGGGGAGAGAATCAGCCCTGTGTCTCAATGTGATTTTTATCTCCTGAATGCTTCCTGCCCCACATCAGGTCTGCAAAGCGGGGGGGACGTTATATAGCGTGTGTGCTGGGAATGGAAGCTGGATAAATAGGCAGCTTCTACAAGTACCCTCTCAACGGCCTGATCCAAAGTCCATTGAAGTCAATAGAAAGGCTCCCACTGGCTCCAGTGGGCCCCAAATTAATACAGGGGCAAGGGTCACGGTGGCAAATTACACCAGTGGTCAGAAACCCAACTCCGCCAGGGACAGATCAGCCCAACAGAAGTTCATATCAATCTTGTCTGCCATAGAATCATAGAATATCAGGGTTGGAAGGGACCTCAGGAAGTCATCTAGTCCAACCCCCTGCTCAAAGACGGCCCAATCCCCAACTAAATCATCCCAGCCAGGGCTTTGTCAAGCCTGACCTTAAAAACCTCTAAGGAAGGAGATTCCACCACCTCCCTAGGTAACCCATTCCAGTGCTTCACCACCCTCCTAGTGAAAAGGTTTTTCCTAATATCCAACCTAAACCTCCCCGTGCAACCTAAACCTTCCCCATGCAAACCCCTAATTAAGGAACCCCCTGCCAAGTCTTGGGGAGACCTTAATAAATACTAGAAGAGCTAATCAAACTCCTACTCCTCTGTCCCATAGATTTCACTGTCATTGCTAATTGCTACTGGGACAGATTGTCCCCTCCCGTGGGGGCAGGAAACCTTGAGGAGCTAAGCTGGCAGAGTTTCTCCTCAAGGAAGAAGGATAGAGGGGCCTGTGGAGACTGCAAGGGGTGTAGCAGGCTACCCCAAGCCCCTTCTCTGCTGCTGTGACCCAGAACAGACTTCAAGAGACAATGCCTGGAGCCACCAAGCAGCACCATCTGTGTTGGTCATTCTGGGAGCCAGAGAGAACCAGAGGGTCTGTGTGTCTCTAGTAGCCTCAACAAGCATCCTCCCTCCCCTTCATATTCGTAACAATGAGTCCATCTTGTGTCTTCCTTATCCCAAGGGGCATTTGGGATGCAACTCCCCCATCCCCACACATCACCAGAATCCATGGGGATGGGTCCTGCTGAAAGACTTGCCTTCTTTTGCTGTCAGGGCCCTATCCCACCCTGACAGCATGGCTCCACTGAGAGTCCCGCCCTACAACCTCAGCTGCAGTCTGATGGCAGGGATCAGGCCCACATATATTTTTGACTCAGTAGTACTCCTCTGACTATTGAATAAGGATTGGCCCCTTGTACTACAGTGTGTAGAGCTATGAATTGGCAACACCCTGGGTTTCTGTGTCCTGCGCTTTTAAATTGCTAAGAACTCTGTCTTTGGAGACAGCAGTCGTGTTCCTGCGGGAGATGCACACACTGCGCTCTCTCTACCTAGAGAAGTTCTTTAGACTAAAAACACATGGCTGTTCTTTGTGTGTGCCTGGACTAAACGCACATAACTTATTTGTCTCCCTACTGAATTCCTGGAAGTCAGCCGTGGATGTATTTTCATTGTCAGTCAGTAGCCCAGCCCAGTGATTTCCCAGTAGCATTTGGCACATTTCAGCTCACTACCATGGTAATACAGCACCTTAGATTGGTATGCCACTGTGTGACTACAGCAATCCGGATATAAAGAGATTACAACTATTTACACACAGATATCTTGCATCAGCAATGATGCAGAACAAAACAGAGCAAAGTCTATGAATGGGCAGCAGGTGCTATATGAGAAACTAACAAATCTTTCTTTCAAAAGCAACTCTTCCAGAGTGCATTTTATGCTCATTGCAATTAACATTGTAATTAATTATGACTAAGGACCCAAGCATGAAACAGGATGTTTGTTTCTTCCTTCCCTCCTGCTGTATATTCCTTTCCTAAAGTCAGAGAGCCAAATTCAGAGATAGCTCTAACCTGGAGTCATTTAGGCTCTGATTCTCAAAGGTATTTAGGTGAAATCAATGGGAGTTAGGCACTTAACTATCTTTGAAAATGTGGACCTTACACCTCCCTCGGCCCCTGTCAGCCCCAATCCCCAGCATACAGCTCACATCTTCAGGTTGCTGTAATGGACCCAGCACATTCTACTTGTGCTGACAGTCATCCCTAGCACAGCTGCAGGGATGCCAGCCACTTGAAATCTAGTTAATAAAAAAAAATTAATTGTTTCATTGCACTGGATCTCCCCCTGCCAATTTTTGTGGCTTTATAAATCACATTTTCTGTTTTAAGAAAGTTTTGTATTTTCCCCACTTTCTAGAAGAAGGACACACAAGTGAGATGAAATCGCCAATAGCAAAATAGCCCAGGTCATTATACACAAAGGCCCAGATTTTCAAAAGTGACTACCAATTCCAGGCACCTTTTTTGGCAGTTAGGAGCCTAAATACCTTTGTGAATCTAGACCTGAGCTCCTACAACTGCAGCAGAAATCAACAGAAGCTCTGGATGCCCAGAATGTCTGAAAAATCAGGCTCAGATTGAATCAGGTTGAGTGCCCCAAAACTGAGATCTTTTGTAAGTGCACCAAGCAAACAAAGTGAAAGAAATGCAGTTTTTAAGTGGAAAGTGTCTCTAACTGAGACAACCCAGTCATGAGAAGGCATTGGCTGATCAGTGCAGATAAAGATTTGTGCATGCAAGTATGCCATGTAATACAGAACAAGGGATGAGGATTCCTTAACATGTCACAATATATAGCAGGATGGGTTCTAAATCAAACAAACATTCTCCAGGTGTAGAAATAATCTTTAAAAAGCAATCGGCTAACAGCACTCTGCATTTTTAAGATGGGCTAGGGATGCAGCCATAGACCTGCAATGAGTCAATACCGTGGCTTGCCCTGGTCCATGACTGGGGCTTCTATGCCTATGGTAATATTACTACATGGCCAGTCTGGGTCAGACCAAAGGTCCATCTAGCCCAGTATCCTGTCTACCGACAGTGGCCAATGCCAGGTGTCCCAGAGGGAGTGAACCTAACAGGTAATGATCAAGTGATCTCTCTCCTGCCATCCATCTCCACAAATTAATAATAAATACCAAAGCCAGCAGTGAGCCAGTCTTTTTAGTTTATCCCAGTGATTTATGGGAGGAAGGCCGGCCCAGTGGTTAAGGCACTAGGCTGAGAGTCAGGTTCAGTTCCCTGTTCCACTAGACTCCTTGTGTGATCTGTACAATGGGGATAACAGCACCACCCTGCCTGGAAGATTGTGGAAGATTGTGAGTTGCCTAGATAATCCAATAGTAAGGGCCAGAGAAATGGGCTCAGATCTTAGGATCACATTTCAACGGCAGACCAGAGCCCCATTAACTTCAGTACTGGCACACAGGGCTCTGCCCATACAAATCTGACTGCAGGACCTATCTACGCCTCCCGTTTCGGTAGAGTCGGGGCACCTCACACTCTTTCAGATATTATCTGCCCATAAGGGTCCAATGGGGGCACCTGGTGTTATGGCAGGCTAGGGAGGAGGGGGCCATGTCACAAGGGAGCCACTCACAAGGTCCTGCAGCTGCAGCCTAAGTTAAACCAGGTGCTGTAACAATCATGCAAACCAGACAGGAGAGAGGAGAGGGAGCCCCCCGGACGGGGGAAGGAACAGACTCGTTTACAGGGGGCTAGGCTTTCCCTGCTGCCTCCCTCCTGCAAATAAATCCGCATGGTTGGGACGGTCTCGTGGCTCCACCTTCCCTGCACGAGATGTTCTCTAGACGCTCCTGCAGCGACGCGTGGAAGGGAAACTTTAAAGGGCTCCGGGATTCCGAACGCGTGACCATGGCAACAGAACGTTGTGCTGACTGTCTCCTTAGCAACGGGCGGGCGCTGCTCCCTGCCTTGCCCTTTTGCAGGCGCTGGGACGGCAGCTGGGGGCCCACGGCTCCCCATTCCCTGAGCCGAGGGTCCCTGCGGGGGGCTGGGCCACGATGGCTTTCGAACTGGAAGAATATCTGCGGGCAGCTTTCCGGGACAAGCTGCTGCTGCCGTGAGTAAGATCCTTTCCCCCCTACTTGCAGGTAGCTGCCTGTGTGCGAAGGGGGCTGCACTGGGCACCTCTCCGCTGGTGGGAGCCCGCATAACGCTCATTATTATTATGTGTAGAGCCAGGCCCTCTGTAGCGCTATGAAGGCACTGGCCCATCTCTGCGCAAGAAGCATGGTAGGGGTAGGCCGTTTTTGGCTCAGGCCCTCGGGGAAGTAGACTTCTTGCTGATACTAATGGCAGTGGGTGTCTTTATTTGGGTAGCTGGAGGGATGGCTAATTCTTGGGTTTTGTGCCAGCAAGAAAACACTTAACAGATGCTTCCTGGCGTGATTCTCGGTAGCCTGTTCTAACCCTGCTTGCTGATCAGGGCTGGAACTCTGCCAGCACCCCACAGGGTCGCAAGCAGAGCTGTGCGGAGAAAGCAGATTCTGTTTTGTGGAGGATTTCAATATTACAGAATTTGGTTTCATTCCAATTTGGAACAAAAACCCCAACAGCTTTGAAGTTCTCCATGAAAGTGAACTTTCAACTGCTAGAAGAGGGCCTCATCTTCCCTGATTGAACTAACCTCCTTATCTCTAGCCTTACTCACTGTTGCTTACATATTTATACCTGCCTCTGGAAATTTCCACTACATTCATCTGACGAAGTGGGTATTCACCCACGAAAGCTTATGCTCCAATACGTCTGGTAGTCTATAAGGTGCCACAGGACTCTTTGTCGCTTTTTATGAAAGTGAATGGAGCCCTGCCACAGCGCCCCAAACCCTGGAAGCCCTGGAGACCTGGCCCTGTGGCAGGGGGCTGGGCTGTCTGGCTGCCCTGGAGATGCAGACCCTGCAAAGTCCTGAAATTCCACCTGACACAGTAGTCTGCATGGCTGGCTGCTCCAGGGTGGTGAAGCCTGGGCTTAGTTAGCAGGAAACCAGGCAGGTTTCTGCTGGAAGCCTGCCTGGGTGCTTTCGGTACTTTGGTGTAATCAGACTGGCTCTGCAAAACATTCCAACTTAGCCAAACCAGCAAATTCCACACAGTTATTGAATTTTTCCAGCCAACTCTCATGATTTTGTCATGAGTCTCATGATAATTATTGTTTTCCTTAAAGCCCCAGCTCCTGGAGTCAAGTGGATATGTGATTATTTCAGCCTTCATTCTTATAGAAGAAATAAATTTCAAGCCCTTGTGGCTGTGGAGAAAGCTTCAAAATGTGACTCCAGTGCACCCTAAAGGCTCAAAAAGCAGAAGGCAAATAAAAAGAACACTAAACCTATTACTTTTACATAATCTCATGATTTGAAAGTCAGTCTCATGATTTTTGGTGAGCCTGACTCATGCTTTTTAAACATTTGGGGTTGGCAACACAGGGGGTGCAAAGTTGAAGATGGAACCAGGGTCAGAGGAAGTGAAAATGGGGCACTAGAAGCACTCCACAGAAAAGTGCAAACAAAGCTTCATCAGGGTTTTCTAGGAGTGTTGTTTCCTGCTCCTGGGGATGTGGTGAACATTTGATCTTGTAGCAAAAGAGCTGCTGTCTGCACTCAGAAACCAGAAGGCCTGGTTACAGAAAAATTACAGCACAGGTTAGGAGCATGTGATGATCCCATCTGCTGCCTGCATACACTTCCCTTGGCTGTACCGTGGTGTATTTTAAGCAATTCCCTAAGCCATGCCCACACTTCATATTGTACATCCATGTATGTCAAAGCAAGGAGGGGGAGTATCACGGCCCTCGTTTTACAGCTTGGTAAACGAAGGCCCAGAGCAGTGAGGGGACTTGCTTACCCCAGGTCATGCAACAGGTTAATGGCAGAATCTAGACTGGAACCTTTGTTGCCTAGTTCCCAGTCTGGTGTCCTGTCCACCCAATCACATTGCCTCTCTTTGGTGCAACACTGCCAGCCTCAAGCATTCAAAAACCAGGAGTCAGGCGTTGTGATTTTAAGCCAATTAATGTTGGGCCCTTCCTAATTGCTTTCTGGTGTCTGAGCCTTTAGGATACACTTGCTTCACATTTTCAAGCTTTTCTCAGCAGCCATAAAGGCTAGGATTTTTTTTTTTTTAATTAAAAATTTTATTTAAAAAAATAAAATCTGGATTCTCAGGCAATCTCATGACTCCAGCAGCTGCAGCTTTAAGAAATATACTAAAGATAGTGAGACTTGCAGCTACATTGCACCTGTTGGGAACACAGCTTAGTAAAGCCCAGGTCACTTTCATGAGACCAATACTGGAATACTGCATCCAGTTCTGGTGTCCACGTTTTAAAAAGGATGTTGGAAAACAGGAGGGGTGCAAGCAGGGCTGGCTCCAGGCACCAGCTAAGGAAGCAGGTGCTTGGGGCGGCCAATACAAAGGGGCAGCACTCCGTCCGCTATTGGGGCGGCACGTCCGGGAATTTGGTGGGAATTCGGTGGCGGGTCCCTCAGTCCCTCTCTTCCTCTTTGAGCTGCCGCCGAAGTGCCGCCAAAGAGGAAGAGAGGGAGTGAAGGACCCGCCGCCGAAGAATGGCACGGCGCAATTGAGCTGCCGCCGAAGTGCCGCCGAAGGGCCTTTTTTTTTTTTTTCCCCTGCCACTTGGGGCGGCAGAAAACCTGGAGCCGGCCCTGGATGCAAGAGAGCCACAAAAAAGATTTGTGGCCTGGAGAAAATGCCTTACAGCGAGAGATTTCAAGAGCTCAATCACAAAGAAGATTGGGGGTGACTTGATTAGTGTTTAAGGACCTTTGCAGGGAGAAAATCCTGGGTACGAATGGCTCCTTAATCTAGTGGAGAAAGGCTGAAGAGGAACCAATGGCTGGAAGCTGAAGCCAGACACATTTTTAGCAACAAGGGGGATTGTCCATTGGAACAAGCTACGAAGGGAAGTGATGGAATCTCCATCTCAAGACTGGAAGCCTTTTAGGAAGATTTGCTTTAGGCAGCCAAGTTATTGGATCAGGGTAGGGGTAACTGGGCAAAATTCTCTGGCCTGTGTTACACAGGAAGTCAGACTAGATGATCTAGTGATCCCTCCTGGCGAGTGAATCTACACTGCCAGTCCAACCTCCAGCATGGCTGACAGCTGTGTTGTAACAAGAGCCCCCAAACACATCTGAGTTTAGTAAAGACAAATAGACACAGCTCAACCCCCAAACATTACATAACCGTATTCTTTGCATGGTACCCAGTCCTGATAAGTTTGGGGTTTTTTTTTTCCTCTCCAGTTTGGCCACATTTGTCTAGCCAATCAAGTCTCACTGAGTTGAGTCAGTTCTATAGGGACTCAGATGGGAGTGCATAGCCACCAGTTTTCTGTGCATGGGAAAAACAAACAATTAGCTTCTCCTTCTAACCTGCTACGGTACCCAATTAGGGCATAATTTGTAAATGACACTTGCTGTGATTCCCATCTCAAGCACTGAGAGCAGGCTCTTAAAACAGAGGGACACCAGGAGTGACTTGTAATTTCTAAACTCTTGCCCACTGCAGTGGGAACCCTGGTTGGGTTCATGCCACTTTATAGCACATGAAACTGCTCTCTCTGAAATTGGTGGCCGTGGGGTGACATTGGAAGAATCTAGGGTTACCATATTTCCACAATCAAAAAAGAGGACACTGGGGGGGGAGGAGCCCCGCTCTAGCCCCTGCCCTGCCCCGCCCCCATCCACTCCCTCCCACTTCCCACCCCCTGACTGCCACCCTCAGAACACCAACCCCCCCCGCTCCTTGTCCCCTGACTGCCCCCTCCTGAGAACCCCCCACCCTAACTGCCCCCCTAGGATCCTACCTGTCCCCTGACTGCCCCGACCCTTATCCACACCCTACCCCATATTCACACCCCCGCCCCCAGACAGACCCCCAGGACTCCCATGCCCTATCCAACTGCTCCCCGCCCCCTGACAGGACCCCCAGAACTCCCGACCCATCCAACCCCCTCTGCTCCCTGCCTGCCTCGACCCCCCTCCACACCTCCACCCCATATCCACACCCCCTCCCCAGACAGACCCCCGGGACTCCCACGCCCTATCCAACCACTCCCTACCCACCTGACAGCCCCCCCAGAACCCCCGACCCATCTAACCCCCCCTGCTCCCTGTCCCTGACTGTCCCAATCCTTCTCCACACCCCTGCCACCCTGACAGCCCCCCCCGAACTCCCGACCCATCCAACCTCCCCTCCCTGTCCCCTGACCAGGGCCGGCTTTAGCAAGAGCCCAGGAATCGGGCTGCGCTCCAGCCGGCGCTCCGGCCGGGGTCGCGGGGCTTGGGGCCGGGCCGGAGGTGCTCGGCTGGGGCCGGGCCAGCGCGCTCGGCCGGAACCAGGGCCGGTGCCCCGGGGCCTGAGCCAAGCTGGGGCCGGAGCCGGGGCCGGGGCCGGGGCTGGGGCCGGGGGTGCTTGGCCGGAACCGGGGCCGGTGCCCTGGGGCCTGAGCCGGGCCGGGCCAGAGCCGCTGGGGCCAGCCAGGGCTAGAGCCGCTTGGCCGGGGCGAGCCGCTCGGCCAGGGCTGGACTGAGGGGGAAGTGAGCTGGGGGAGGGGTGGACAGCTGCGGGGCCAGGCGGCGTGCTAAGGCTGCAGGGGATGGGGGGAGCCGGGAAAGGGCTTTGGCTGCCTAGCGGCGCTTGGCCGCCGCTTTTCGGTCTATAAATAGCCAACCGGGGGGAAATCCCGGACATTTTTAGATTTTTAGAAATCCCCCCCAGACGGCTATTTATAGACCGAAAAGCCGGACATGTCCGGGGAAATCCGGACGTATGGTAGCTCTAAAGAATCTAAGTGACAGAACTCTCGTAAGCTCTGCCTGCCTGTGGAGCCACCCACATTATCTTGTGGGGAGCATTGTACTAGGATTGTTCCTCTTTTGTGTGTGCACATGTGTGTGCGCACACTTATGTGACAGCCACTATCTTGGCAAGTACATCAGATTGAAACAGGGACCTCCAGTGCTAAAAGCATGAGCTGCTACATCTTCTTAGCTGGGGCAGTAACAGACTCATATCTCCTATGGATTGGACATAGGGAGGGACCCGTAACACACACTTTGATTAGGTGTAAAGTCATTAGTAATCTTGACATTTAAATTGTCATTAGGTATCAGAGTTAACACCCAGATCGCAAGGAGTGGGATCCGTTTACATGCCTCAGAGCTATTGTTTCAGGCTGCCTGCAGACTCAGACAGATGGCACCACGTTGGTTCACATTCTTTGCCATCAAAAGTGCTAGAGACTTTTTTTTTTAAAGCAACACCATCAACTTAGTAATCACTCCTCTGTCTGACCTCCTTTGATATAAATAACACCTAAAAGGACTAGAACTGTGTAAGCAGGGCTTGCCTGCCAGAGCACCCTTCTGTGGCTGACCACAGTGCAACAAGCACGTCCTTCCTTGGTTTCCCCAATAGTGCCCAGCACCAACTGAGTTGCCCAACTTCTCCACCACAGACCAGACCAATGGTTACCTTCTCTGCCCGGGAAAAGACTGTTGTCCCTTTCAGAGGCTAATACAAACCCTGCAGCCTGGCATAATTTAGTAGTTTCAGCCTCCAGCAGATCCCTCAAAGTCAGACCATTCTACCCCTCAGAACATGATTAGTAAAAATGCAGCAGTTCTCCAGCCCCACCCATATTCCAGGGCCCCCACCTCTGGCAATTGTCTGTGCTGCTTACAACTCTCCTGCAGCCCTCATGTCCTTGTAAGAGGGCTCCCGGTATCCCTCCACTGCCCAGTCCCTTTGCCTGCAAGTCCTACCCCTGCCCATAGGAATCTCCCTCCAAAATCCAGGCTTGGCCTGCTCTGCCTGAGCTGGTTCTTTCCCTTTACCAAGGTGCCTCTGCAGGAGCCAGCTACTCAACAGGCTTTTCCTGCTCTCACCTGTTAGCACTCAACTACTGCTCCTTCCTGCTCCCCTCGCTGAGCTGCTGCCTGGCTCTTAAGAGTGGCCAGGTGCTCTCCCTCAGGGTTGCCAAGTGTCTGGTTTTTGACAGAACACCTGGTCAAAAAGAGGCCCTGGCAGCTCCGGTCAGCACTGCTAAAAGTATGGGTAGCGGCACAGCGGGGCTAAGGCAGGCTCCCTGCCTGCCCTGGCTCCCCGCAGCTCCAGCAGCTGGCATGTCTGGCTCCTAGGTACAGGGGCGGCCACGGGGGCTCTGTGTGCTGCCCCTGCCCTGAGCGCCAGCTCGGCAGCTCACCTTGGCTAGGAACTACGGGTACAGGCAGTGCGCAGAGCCCCCTGGCCCCTCTGCCTAGGAGACGGACAGGCTGGCCGCTTCCTGGAGCCACCTAAGGTAAGCGCTGCCCAGCCAGAGCCCGTACCCTGAACTCCTCCTGCGCCCCAGCCCCCTGTCCCAGGTCAAAACCCCCTCCTGCAGCCCAACCCCCTGTCACAGCCCTGAGCCCCCCCCCCCCCCCCGCCCCCCCCCTTTCCCGCCCCCCCCCGGGGCCCGCCCCCCCCCCCCCCCCGCCCACCCCTTGTCCCTGCCTGGTGAAAGTGAGTGAGGGTGGGGAGAGCGAGTGATGGATGGAGGGGGGGATGAAGTGAGTGGGGGTGGGGCCTCGGGGCAGGGGCAGGGCAAGGGTGTTGTTTTTTTGTGCTATTAGAAAGTTGGCAACCCTGCACTCAGGCCCTTGCTGGAGGTGGACTGGACCTGTTCCTTCTTAAAGGGCCAGTCACCCAGTGACAAATTGGAAGCGATTTGGGAAAAGAGCTCTCACCTTCTTTGGTTTCAGTTTGTTGCTTTGGGCCCAGTCGAGCTTGCTGTTGCCCTGCACATTCGTTAAGGAGTCACTTTTCCCTGTCGTTTCTCTAACACTAACCTGGGGGAGAAAAAACTCGTTTAAAACGAATTGGAAACCTGTGATTGTGAAACCACGATCTCTGTTTGGGCACCAGGCAGGCTCTGGATTAGAAACCACTTTCAGCTCATCCTCTGGGCTAGATCAGGGTGGAACTGGGGGAAAAGCTAGTACTTATGGCTCTCTCGTCCCCCAAGGCCAGCCCTGAAATTAGCTCGGTTGCCTGCTGACTGCGCATCCCTTGACATGAAAGCGTTCCAGTTGGAGCACAGGGTGGTGGCCACTGAGGAGAAGTGCTGGCGTGTGGAGCTGCAGTGGCCCAGCCCATGACAGGGGGTCCAAGTAAACGTGGCATTTGCAGTAAGAACAAGTGTGGTGCTCTTGTATCTCAAGGGTTCCGTACCCAGTCCGGCGTACCCCTTTCGGCATCCCGGGTGCCACTGATGGCAATGGAGGCTGAAGAGGAGTTAGCAGAGTTCCACCAGGGCCAGGTGCGGCGCTGCCACTCTCCCATTTGTTCCTCCCCTGCAGGAAAATGCCTGAAAGAGAAGACGACTACCTGACCCCTGCCACCCGCCTGCTGGAGAAGAGGAGGGAGCTGGCAGAGGTGGAACAAGCCCTGTTGGCACAGAAAGAGGTAAACCCAGCTGCACAGGGCCTTGCCCGGGCTGTGCCTGTTAACTTGAGGTTCATGATTCCTACATGGTGGGGTCCCTGGATGGGCGAGGGGTTGGGGTGGGGCATCAGGGCCTCGAAGGAGGTTGAGAATGGAAAGCGAGTCCTTACTGTTTTCATGTCACTGGGCTGCACTGTGGGGAGTGGCTGGTCACTTCCTGAGGGCTCAAGGGCAGGAGAGAGGCACAATACAATCAGTGGAGAAAACTCCTGCTTTAAAGAAAAACAACATCACGACTGGAGCTGGTTGGGAAAAATGCTTCCCCACGCCTCCCCCCTCCCCATGGAAAATTGCAATTGTTCAGAGAAAATTCAAATAACCAAAAGATTTTGGCCCAAACCTGAAAAGTTTAGCAGCAAAAAATGATGCTGCAGTTTGTAAAGCACTATGGGTTACTTTGGTGTACCAGTGTTGATTACAATAAATGTGATTTTGCCCAGCATTGATCGGCCTATTAATCTGATATGCCACAGTGTGGCCAAGTATGTACGTAGTGAGAGAGAGAGAGAGAGAGAGGAGTACAAAACGCTTTGGCGATGTAATAATAGTTACAGAAATAATGAGCAGAGAACAATCAAACAGGACACTTAGAGAATTGTGTAATCTAGAGAGATTTAATGTAATGGCCGAGCAGTGGCAGGGGAGAGGGACTAAGAGATGGGCAAGGGGAAAAAGCTTTCAGGTGAGATTTGAAGAGTTGGCAAGTCAGTTAATGAGATGGCAGTTGCTGCAGAGGAGAAGGCCCCTGCACCAGCAGTGGCCATCACTGGATCCTCAGTATTAGATCAAGTGTGTCCATAAATGTTTTGGATGGAACCTAGAATGTTGTTTAACAGGGGTTTGTCCTGACTCATAGGGCCCCTCACTCTGTCCCCAGGCTCCCCACCCCTCGGACTCCCATACATGCTCTTTGTATTTTGTTCTGTGACTATACAGGCCTAGCAGTGGGGTCCAGGTCCGCTAGGCATTACCACAATACAAATAATTGTTACTAACAATGGTCCAGATCCTCAAAAGTATTTAGGTGGCTAATTCCCATGGAAGCCCCCAGTCTAGCAGGCAATGCAGCTTGATATTCAGCTCCACTGTGACTGCTACGGCTGACCCAAGGGACAGTGACAATGGTGGTGCCCTGGTATACCCATGCAGCCCTGATAATGCTGGCCAATCCTTTGGACATGGAGCCACAGGGGATTAAGAGGAGACAGGGACTAGGTCCACCAGAGTGCCAGGGAGGGCTTTGCACAGAGCATTTAGTCAGCACTCCGCTCCTTGGTTCTGTATAACTGCTGCCACTTGGGCTGATAGCAAGGCAGGAACCTGGGACCTTCAGTGCTAAAAGCATGATTCTCTGCTGCTTGTGCTGAAGGGCTAACTCCCTCAGTTGGTAGCACTAGTAGGCTTGTATCCTTATATGTGGATGAGCCATTAGAAGGAAACCGTAAGGCCCACATTCTGGCAGCATGTTACCCTCACTCTACAGAACACTCAGCATTAGGCAGACCTGCTGCTGCTGTTCCAGCACTGCAGGGGATGCAGCCTTGAAGCCCTTTCTTCCCAGACGCTGAGCCCCCTCACCCAAGCCCAGGTGCTCTGAGGGTCCTTGCCCCCCTGTTGGTGAAGGCTCAGGAAGGATTGCTTGGGCTGGCCCCATCTCCTGACTGGCCTTGTCCTGGCCTCCTGTAGGAGTTCCAGATGAAGATGGAGAGCCTGCAGCAGCGCCGGATGGAACTGCAGTACAAGGAGGGGCAGCTCAAGGAGGCCATCTTCAAATTTGACAAGTTCCTAAAGGTACAAGTCCCACATGGAGATCCCGGGGCCGGGAGGAAAGCCTGCTGGCTGGGGTGGAGATGGACTGTACCTGGAAGGTATTGCTCTTGCCAAACTAAACTGCAGAGCAGGTGTGTGTCAAATCCATTTCCACTGGATCATAGAATCAATCATAGGACAGGAAGGGACCTCGAGAGGTCATCTAGTCCAGTCCCCTGCACTCATGGCAGGACTAAGTATTATCCCTGACAGGTGTTTGTCTAACCTGCTCTTAAAAACCTCCAGAGATGGAGATTCCACAACCTCCCTAGGCAATTTATTCCAGTGCTTAACCACCCTGTCACTTAGGAACTTTTTCCTCATGTCCAACCTAAACCGCCCTTCCCCCAATTTAAGCCCATTGCTGCTTGTCTTATCCCCAAAGATTGAGAACAATTTTTCTCCCTCCTCCTTGTAACAACCTTTTATGTACTTGAAAACTGTTATGTCCCCTCTCCGTCTTCTCTTCTCCAGACTAAACAAACCCAATTTTTTCAATCTTCCCTCATGGATCATGTTTTCTAGACCTTTAATCATTTTTGTTACTCTTCTCTGGACTTTCTCCAATTTGTCCACATCTTTCATGAAATGTGGTGCCCAGAACTGAATGCAATACTTCAGTTGAAACCAAACTCAGCGCAGAGTAGAGCGGGAGAATTACTTCTCGTGTCTTGCTTACAACACTCCTGCTAATACATCCCAGAATGACGTTTGCTTTTTTTTTTTTCTCCTCCGCCCCCCCCCAACAGTGTTACACTGTTGACTCATATTTAGCTTGTGGGTCTCTATAACCCTCAGATCCCTTTCCCCAGTACTCCTTCCTAGGCAGTCATTTCCCATTTTGTATGTGTGCAACTGATTGTTTCTTCCTAAGTGAAGTACTTTGCATTTGTCCTTATTAACTTTCATCCTATTTTCTTCAGACCATTTCTCCAGTTTGTCCAGATCATTTTGAATTTTAATCCTGTCCTCCAAAGCATTTGCAAATCCTCACAGTTTGGTATCATCCGCAAACTGCCATTAACTAAATCCGTTGATGAAGATATTGAACAGAACTAGACCCAGAACTGATTCCCGTGGGACTCCACTTGTTATGCCCTTCCAGCATGACTGAACCACTGATAACTACTCCCTGGGAATGATTTTCCAATCAGTTATGCACCCACCTTATAGCAGTTCCATCTAGGTTGTATTTCCCTAGTTTGTTTGTTTATAAGAAGATCATGCGAGACAGTATCAAAAGCCTCACTAAAATCAAGATATACCACGTCTACCGCTTCCCCCCACCCACAAAGCTTGTTACCCTGTCAAAGAAAGCTATTTGTTTTTGATAAATCCATGCTGATTGTTACTTATCACCTTATTATCTTCTAGATGTTTGCAGATTGATTGCTTAATTGTTTGCTCCATTATTTTTCCAGGTACTGAAGTTAAACTGCCTGGTCTGTAATTCCCCGAGTTGTCCTTTTTATAGATAGGCACTAGATTTGCCCTTTCCAGTTGTCTGGAATCTCTCCCATCTGCCATGACTTTTTGAAGATAATCACTAATGGCTCAGCTATCTCCTCAATCAGCTCCTTGAGTGTTCAAGTCACCAGGGCCTGATGAATTCCATCCTAGAAGACATCCAACTTGTCTCAGTAATTTTTAACTTGTTCTTTCCCTATTTTAGCCTCTGGTCCTACCTTGTTTTCATTGGCATTCACAATGTCAGATGTTCAATTGCTACAAACCTGTTTAGTGAAAACAAACAAAGTCATTTAGCACGTCTGCCATTTCCCATTTCCCTCATCATCCAAATTCCTCAGCACATCCAGGCACCACTAATGACCTCTGCCACAGAGTCTTGCAGCTACCAGGATCCAGTTTGGGCTCTGCTCTCAGCCATACATTTTGATTCCAGACTCTAGGTGCATTTGGATCCAGGGTTCTGGTTCTGCCCATTTCTGATTCCCTAACGTACACAGACAGTGCAACTTTGGTTCCAGACTCTAGGTGCATTTGGATCCAGGGTTCTGGTTCTGCCCATTTCTGATTCCCTAACGTACACAGACAGTGCAACTTATCAGTGGGGATTGAATCAGGGATCTAAAGCAGAAGCTCCAACAGCTCGAGCTAAAGGAGCAGCTTCTCCAGCAAGGTGTCAGTAGAAGGTTGTTACCCTGCTAACACAGAGCCCTCTGGTGTGGCAGCAGTGCTACACACCAAGCATGCGGGCTCAGCGTGGTGGGGAGCTTGCCCTTTGACATTACCTGGTTCCCTGTGTTGTGGGTGGCAGGACAATGACTCCAAGCGGAGCCGGGCGCTGCACAAGGTGAGTGAGCAGCGACAGCAGGTGGTGCAGAAGGTCGTGGAGGCCATGCAGTTGCGCCAGGAGATTGCCCGGCTGCTCGTGGAGAGGGACAGGCTGCAGCGGCGCCTGGAAGCCCATGCCATCTTCCGGAGCTATCTCCAGGGGGTGTTGGAGAAGACCGAGCAGGTGAGGGGGGACTCTGCAGGGAGCTGCTGGGGAGGGGAGGGTCAGGAGCAGGGGGCACTACCCGCCTCTAGATGCCCCCATGCCAACTTCCCCACTCCCCATTGTCTACCTGATCCCCTTCCCAGCTCTGCACTGGCCCCTTCCCAGTTACTGACCTTCCCTGCGCTGGAAAGCACCCTGACACCCCCTGCAAGTGCTCAGTCCCTCCCCAACTGCTAAAGTCCCCAGACAAGTGCTGGCATTTCCCCTCCCAGGTTCCCGCGCCACCCCCGCAGTGCCCTGGCCCACTGCTGTTACCGAGCCACCCTGACCTCCAATGCCAGCAACAAGTGACCTGAGTACTGTTTCCGGGCCACAACCTCCTTCAGCCACAACCTCCCCTCAGCTGCAGCACCCCTCACCCCACTACCTTGTGTCCCCTCACGGCTGCAGCACCCCTCCACACACTACCCCGCACCCTCTCACGGCCACAGTACCCGTCACCCACAACTGCCCCTCACATCCGCAGCACCACCCCCACCACAATTGCCCCACGCCCCGTCATGGCCACAGAACCCTGTCACCCACAACTGCCCCTCATGGCTGCAGCAGCACCCGACCCACAACTCCCCCTCACTTCTTCACGGCTGCAGGACCTGAGTCCTGCTTCCGGGCCACAGCATCTGTCAGCCACAACCTCCCCTCAGCTGCAGCACCCCTCACCCCACTACCCTGTGTCCCCTCACGGCCGCAGCACCCCCCCACACACACACTACCCCGCACCCTCTCAAGGCCACAGCATCCCATGCCCCCACAACTGCCCTGCAACCCAAAACTGCTCCTCACGGCTGCAGCACCCCCCACTCCAGTACCCCGTGCCCCCTCACGGCCACAGTACCCGTCACCCACAACTGCCCCACGCTCCCTCATGACCACAGCACGCCCTTCACCCATAGCTTCCCTTCATGGCTGCAGCACCCCCCCCCCACACACACACACAACTGACCCACGCCGCGGCAACAGTCGCCCACAACTGACCCACACTCCCTCACGGCTACGGCACCCCCCTTCCACCCACCCACCCACACACCTACCTCGCGCCCCCTCCCGGCTGCAGCACCCGAGACCCACAAGTGCCCTGTGCTCCCTCACAGACGCAGCACCCTTCCCCCACAACTGCCCCGTGTTCCCTCACGGCCCCGGCACCCGTCCCCCACATCTGCCCCACGCCTCTTCAAGGCCACAGCACCTCCCCCTCCTCCCCACAATTGCCCTGTGCCCCCTCATGGCCATGGCACCCATCCCCCACAACTGCCCTGTGCCCCCTCACGGCCGCAGCTCCCCCCCCCCCCCAACTGCCCCATGCCCCTCACGGCCACAGTACCTGTCACCCATAACTGTCCCCCAGGATGGCAACATCCTCCCCACAACTGCCCCGCACCTCCTCATGGCCGCAGCACCCTTCCCCCATATGCCCTGTGCCCCCTCACGGCCTCAGCACTCCCCCACAGCACTGCCCCACCACTCCTCAGAGCTGCAGCACCTGTCACCACCACTGCCCTGGTCCTCTCAGCCAGAGCAGCCTCCCCACCCCCGCCAAGTGCTCTGATCCCTCCCCAGCTGATGCCCTTGGGGAGGTTTGTAGCCTGAAACTGGTGGTGCTGAAACAAGCTAACCCTGCCCCCCATGTCCTGCCCCTTTGTGGGTGAGGAGGTGGCCTCCCCTGGGATAAGCGGTGCTGGAACACACCATGCTGTGCCTGCAGTGCCAGCTGCTCTAGGAAAGCCACTAGCCCCCTCAGGCTAGACCCAGCCACTCAGTAACCTCATCTGTGGGGAAGGGGTCCCAGTGCAAGGAGTAGGATGGGAGGCGGCTGGTTCTGGCTCAGATCCCAGTGACCCACGGTGACTTGGACACTCCACCCAAACCTGCTAGAGCAAGGCGCACAGGGGGTGCTGGTGCACCAGGGGGCAGGCAGGGAACGAAGCATCACCGGGTGGGGGAGGTCCCTGACCCGAAGTAGAGATGCACTCGGTGTAACAACGGGACAGCCCTCAGGGCCGGCTCCAGGCAACCAAGCACATGCTTGGGGCAGCACCTGGTAAGGGGTGGCCAATCTTGGGGTGGCGGGGGGCGGCGCGGCATGGCATTCTGTGGGGGGGGCGCTCCGGCGGCGGGGGGCGGGGGGGGGGGGGGGGGGGGCGCCGGCGGCGGGGCGCGGGGCGGGGGGGCGGCGCGGGGCGCGGCTAGGGTGACCAGATGTCCCGATTTTATAGAGACAGTCCTGATTTTTTTTAGGTCCTTTTCTTATATAGGCTCCTATTACCACCCCCCCCCCCCACCTCCGTCCTGATTTTTCACATTTGCTGTCTGGTCACCCTAGGCGCAGCGCTCGGCGGGGGCTCCGGCGGTGCAGGGGGGGGCAGCGCTTTTTTTTTTTTTTTTTTTTTTTTTGCTGCTTGGGGCAGCAAAAAAGTTAGAGCCGGCCCTGACAGCCCTGCTCATTCAAATCCAGCGTAACCCCTCTCTTGCGCCACCTGTGAAAGGGACTCAGTTCCCAGGCTGCACGCCTGCCCCTCTGTCCTGAATGAGCACCCTTAACCCTCGGCCTCCCCCGTTGTCCCTTCCTCCCCCACCGTCCCCTCCCCGGGCAGTTTCAGGAAATCCAGGCGCTGATTGACCGCTTTAGGACTCTGACTGCCACCAACGTGGTGCTGGTGCAGCAGGACCTGGGGAGCCGGGAGGCGATGGCGGAGAAGCAGGCCCAGCTCCAGCAGTACCTGGAGCAGAGCAACAACGAGATCATGCAGCTCAACAACCAGCTAGCCCTGCTGCAGGCCCAGCAGGAGCAGGCCCGGGCCAAGGTGCACCAGTGGGTAAGTGGGGAGACTGTAGCCCTCCAGCATGCCAGGGGCAGAGGGGTGGGGGACTGTCAGGAGGCTCCACTGGCCCTATGAAACTGGGGCACGGGGCAGTTTCCTAGGGGCTCCTTCGGCCTTGTGGGGCAGGGATGTGTGGCCAAGTCCCGGGGCGCTCTCAGCCTCCGTCAGTGGCCCCAGTGACTCCACCACTTCCATGATGGGCCCTGCTGCCTGAAGGCCACCACCCACCTGCATTGACCTACCCTGAGCTGGAGGGAGTATTGGCCACAGCTCTGCCGTCCCTCCCCAGCTAGGCCCTTGCTCACTGCCAGCTCGGCGGGGCTGTCAGTCCGTCCAGAATGGCTCCTGCCCTCCCCCTCGCTTTCCCTAAGGAGAACATGTGTGAATCCTGGGGGGGCTGAGTGAGCTGGGCCCGGTTCCAGCCTCGCCCATGCAGCATGCCGGTGCCTCCAGTGAGCAGGCTGGAGAGCAGGGTGGCTGGTGATGTAGCCCCTGCAAGCAGGGTGCTGAGGGAGGGATGGGGGTGCAGCAGGTGCAGAGCAAACACTGCAGGGGTAGGATCAGACCGACTTGGTGTGTCTATAACCCCTGTGCTAGGCCCAGGCATGAGCCTGCAGGGTGCAACATCCCCCCCCTCAGGAGCCTTTGGGGGGGGGGCAGTGCAGATCAGGCTCTGTCATGCCAGCTTCTAGCATCAAAAGCATCTTCTGGGCAGGCTCCCTCTGTGGACCCCCCCCGAGGGACCTGTGAGCTGAAGTGGCTCCCTGTTGTCCACTGGGCAGGGGGTGGGGGTGGGGTCTCCATTACTCACCAGGCACAGCGCTGTGGGCTGCACTAGAATGAGGTCACCCCAGGTATTGGCACTTGTGCCCCTCTGAGGATTTGAACTCAGGACTGCCAGAGTGCAGAGTAGGAACACGTGCATGCCCCAGCTGGAGGCTGCTCTGTCTCACAGCTGGTGCCGTGGAGCTATGTGGTGGGTGCTGCTGCAGGGTGCCATGCCCACAGGACTGGAAGTGCAAGTGGACAGCTGGGCTCAGCCAGGTAGGAGCCAGGATGCTGAGGTTCTGCTCCCAACTCTGCTGCCAGTGTGCGGCCTGGTCCTGAGCAAGCTGCCCCCTTCCACCCTACGCAAAGTGGGGATAATCCATCCCTACTTCCCAGGGCCGGGCCAAGGCTTAGTTCACAGCTGGGGACGTTGCCAAGGGGGAATGAAGGCAGGAGCCCCGTGGTCAGAGGGAACAAAGAGGAACATGAGGCAGCATTGCTGGGGATGGAGCAACTGATCAAAGAATCTGCTGTGGGAGGAAGATGAGGGCCCAGTCAGTGAGGGAGGGGCCTCATCTGTCCCCAAAGCGGGAACAACTATCGCTGGGCTGTGTGGCCTTAACCCAGTCCTGGTGCATGGAGATTGCTGGCTGGGTATCACTGCTCTAGTGAGGGTGCTGAGACCCTCCAGGACTGGTCTCCTCCAGTGGGATAGGGCAGATGCGATGCTTGGCTGGGGCAGGCAGTTTCGGGAATGTGGAGTGGGATGCAGTGCCTGTGTCAAGGCATCCCATAACCCTCTGCTCCAATCTCAATGCAGGAGTCCAAGTGGACTGAGATCCAGAGCACAGCCGCCAGGAAGACCCTGCAACTGGGGCAGATCAAGATGGCTGCCCTCAACCTCTTCCAGCTGGCGACAAAGCAAATGAAGCTGCAGGTGGACGTCCCCCTGGAGGACACGGAAACCCAGCTTGACACGGTCAGACATGCAGCTGCCCGCTCTTCTTCACGGCATTTGGCTTTCCCCAGCCCTATGCTCTGAGATGCTCGCGCTGGAGGCTAGAACACCGCCTACAGCCAATGCTTCTGCACCACCCTGTACAGCGCCTCCCACTGGAAGAGGCTGGGACTGGAGTAGCCAATACTCCTGTCCTGCTCCCTACAGTGCCCCTCTTGGGACAGGCCAGGCCTAGTAGCTGTGAGCCCCTCTGTACCCAAGGCTCCTACAGGGCCATACTATTTGCTACAGCAGCCCCTGCTGGGATTTCTCCTTTTTAAGGCTCGCTGTGTTTTCAGGACATCACTGGCTGGATCCAGGTAAAGTTCCTTCCTAAAGCAACCGTGCTCTGTCTCCATCAGGTTCAGCTCTGCATGCTCGACCTGGCTGACATCCTTGCTGACCTCCGCAAAGGGGAGCCTGCGCCTGCCATACAGCCCTCGCCCGCTGCTGCCAGCTAAGTCATTCAGCATCCTCCCAGCTGCACCACCTCCACTGTGAGTTTGCTGCTGAGGCTGGCTTTGGGCAGCCCTGATTTCCCCCCTCTTCCCCCCCCCCCCCCCCCCCCCCCCCCGCCTGAATATAGCTTGCACCTTGTTACGAAATCAGGCATGTGGCTTACTGTTGCTTTCCAGGGGGCTAAGCCTCATTATATCACTGACTCACCGTCCTCCTAATCACCTACAGCTCCTGCCCCAAAGGAGTTTACCCTGCGTTGGCTCAAAGCACCAGCCCAGCAGCCTGATCTAGACTGGAATGAATGCAGCATTTCCCCACCTACACCTCTTAGTTTATGCAAAGATCAGACACACTTGCCAATCTGTGCAGAGACCAGCAAAGTCCGTGTTAGATGGGCCAATGGGTGGATGGAGGGGGAGGGCAGGCACTGGGGAGCCTCCCCCCCACAGTTCATGTCCTACAAATTACCCACTAAACAGCTGTGACCCTGCTTTTTACTGGGGGAGATACCACTCTCACAGCTGCTCTTTCCAGCCGGACCCTGCTGGCAGGGAGATGCTGGGGGGTGTCCTGCCTGAAATTAACAAACCCACCCCACTGACCATAGCAGCTGGGGTTGCAGGAACCATGGGCAGGGGCTGACTGGGCCATGGCTCCTGAATGCCTGTGTTTGAGGGAACCTGCTGGAGTCAATCCTGCTCAACCACGGCTGGGAGCTGCCAGCTCCTCCCATGTTTCCAGTGGCCTGGATGGGCCCTGGGTCACGGAGTCCCGGCCCTGCTAGTGCAGCAGCCCCCGCACATCAGCCCATTCATAAACTTCCAGAGCTCATGCTTCAAACGAGTTTGGTTGTTTGAGCCCCTGCTCCTATGCGGGGGGCTGGTCCAGAACCTCCCTCCTCTGATGGCTAGAAACCATCTTCTCATTCCAGCCTCAGTTCACCCCATACCCTGCACCGAGCCCAGGCTGCAGCTGTGTTGGCACCACCAGTCTGGGGAGCTGTGCTGCAGGGTGACTGAGCCCCACCCTGGTGCTAGTGAAATGGTGGGAGGTTCCACTGTGGACAAAGCCTGTATTCGAAAAACTCAACCATGATTGTGAGCCCGTGCGATGGCCACCATCCCTGTGACTGAACTGGAACCCTCTGGAGCTGAACACAGGTGGGGCCCCACCTTGAGCTAAGGGGCCCAAGCTGGAGGACTCCTATCCGCTTTGGCTCAGGCACACACAGCTATGATACATCCTGACCCCTGGGCTAGGCCCTGTTCTACACCTCATGTGGTTCCTGCCTGTGGAGCAATAACCATGTCTGTATACCTGGTACTACAGTCTGGGTCTTTGATCCTAGCCCTGTGCACATTGGCAAAAAGAAACCATGCTGGAACACGATCCTATCCCAGCTGTGTTTAAGCCTCATTGTTTGTGTGGTAGAAAGGGCCTAAGCCAGGTGGGCTCACAGGGCAACTGGAAGGCAGAGCTGGCTGCCACTTCCCCTGCACTACAGCATCCATTTGTCTTCTCTGTTCCATGGCAGCTGGACCAGGGCCTTGTGCCAACAACCACCAGACCTTTGTCAGAGCAGCTTCCTCTCCTGCTGCCCCATGGAGTCATCGCACCTGCAGCCTTTGCATGTGCTATGGCCACTTCTATGGACAGCCCCAAGCATCAGGACTTTGCTGCCTAGGGGAAGGCTCCTGAAGTGCATGGGACAGAAGTCAGTGATCTTCAGGTATTTCCAGCCATCAACTCTGCCTACTGATGCACCATTAACCCCGAGGTCTGGAGTCTTCCAACCTTCTTCTGTAACATCAGGACTGATGTAGAATGCGCAGCCCCTCTGGGGAAATACTTTGCTCCATCCTTGAGCAATGCAGGGATTAAAGCAGCAAGTTTAAAACCTGACCCAGTTTAAAACACTTCATCACCTCCTTGATTTAGTTAAACAAGGTTCCAAAATCCAAACTGTGTGCATTCACAACAGCTGGGCCCAAACTCGCCTGGGTCAGTTTCTCCAGCCAATGTCCCCTTAGGCTGTTGTCTGCGTTGCACGCACAGCAAGGAGGTTGAAAGACGATAGAAAAAATTGTTTATTGGAGTAAAAAAGTGTGGGCCATTATTTACATTGACTTTTGATACAAAGCTTAGTTCAATTTAGGCTGAAAAAAAAGTAAGGCCCCTTTTTAAAGGCAAGTCAAACTCTGCTCAATTTCCCCACTTTGCATACTGCCACGCAGCCCTGAGCAGGAGAGAACAGCTAAGGGGACCCAGGAAGCACTTAAAGTCTCAAGCAAGTGATGTTTTCTCACTGCAGGTGGCTGGCTCAGGGACTGCACATGCTGCCTGTTGCCACCTGCACTGTTATAGGCGACACTGGATTGCAGAAGTATCTTTAACTGTCCCAGATTGTACTGGCCATGTTGTGGCTGCCCATTGCACCTTTATTCATTTTCCTTTGGGGACATCCCTCCATCTTTTTATGTGCCAAGAGTGGAGGACCTTGCACAGCTGGTATTATCAGAGGAGAAAGCACATGTGCAGGTTCTCACCAACAGTTTTGGGGGTTCTTTATTAAAAGATAGATTTTCTGATCATCTCTTGATCTAGCATTGGCTTTTCTTTGTGGGAGCGCTGCCTCCCACACAACTGACATAGTTGGGAGGGGATGGTGTGTCAGAGGCAACAGGGAGCTTGGAGGACACTTACTACTCCCACCAATGGTCACAATGCTGAAGAGGCAGGGGAGTATCCGCAGCTGGGTAAGGAGCTAAGCCCTGAGACTAAGGATCTGTCTGGCTAGAGGCAGAGAAATAGAATTACCAGGTGAATACAGCTGGACAGGAATGATTAGACAGTGCACAGGATTGGGACTCCAACTGGGCTTTAGTCCTGGCTCTGCCACTGGGTGACTTTGGGCAAGTCGCTCCCCGTACCTCAGTTTCCCCATCTGTAAAATGGGGATAATACTGACCTCCTTTGCAATGCACTCCGAGATCTATAGCTCTTATTACATAAATACCATTTTGCAGCCAGGCCCAGAAAGTAAGTGCTCTTCTCTGAAACCCCTCTCTGCTACCACCTTTCTGCACAGGGGGCTTTGAGGTCAAATTCATGCATGGTCTAGCTTACACTTTCTGGAGAGTGGGCTCTCCAGGAACAAATGAAATCAGGGAGCAGCAAGCATTGCTGCTGTCCACAGGGGAGGGGGAGGGAAGGTGCGATGATCAGAAACGGCTTTTAAAAGCAGCCTCATGCAATGTCAGGAACGTCCTTTGGGAGAAGGGGTGAGTAGTTGGTGAAAACCAGTCCAGACTAGGGCCATCTTTCAGCAATCATAACAGCTTCTGCTGGAGACTTTCAGGAGGTACTGACTAGAGGGACAGGCAGCCAGCCCTGCCCCTGCCCAGCTCCGTTCCCTGGCCAGCACTCCCGCCATCTTCCCCCGCCCCTGAGCTGCATTCGAGACAAACATCCAACAGAAACTGAAAACCAACCGATGTCATTTAATGGTGCCTGCCCAGGGCGGAGTGTGCACGGGGCAGCTCACGCCCCAGAAAGGGGAGATGGCTCGGAATCAGCCCTTCACCTGCTGCCCTCCCACGCTCCATTCTTTACATCCTTTTCCTCATTTTACCCTTCTTGGCAGCACCACGGCCGAACGCCGTCCTGCGCAGCTCCTGCACCCGCTGCCGCTTCTTGCCTTTCATCCGCTTCAGGCCGCCTTTCTGCAGAAAGTTCTGCTTGGCCACCCTCTTCCTCTGCTTCAGGATCTGCTGCTTGCTCTTCAGCTCCGAGTGCACCTTGCCCTGCTGGGAGCCGTGCTTCCCGGGGGAGGGCGCCAGCCGCTTGCCTCCTGCCAGGGGAATGAATTACTCAAAGCCCTCCCCAGGAGTTCTCCCCCTGCTCATCTCCCCACAGGCACCTAGCCCTGGGGCCACGACGCCGGGTCAGGGACTGAGCTAGAGAGCCATGCCAAGGGGAATGGACTCTAGCGGGGAACAGGGGCTGGCACACAGAGCGGAGCCCCGCACAGCCGGCTGGGCTCTGGGGTGGTAGCAGTTCTCTAGCCAGCAGTGATGTGGACGCTATCCTGCATATCAGCCACCTGTTGGGTCTCAGCCTGCCTGGATCCCCCAGGCACCAATGTCGGCACAGGGCAGGGCCTTCACCCCCAGGCACTCACCTCTGCCCTTGCGATGCGCCCCGCCTCTCGGCTCGCTCCCCGCCTCCTCCTCGGAGTCCCACTCCTCAACTTTGTATTTCTTCTTCCACTTCTCATAGCTGGGGGCGGCGGGTTAAGGAAAGGGCTGGGGGGCAAGCCCTCCGCGACTTCTCCCCTCACCTTAATCCCAATCCCTGCGCTTCCCCTCTTCAAGCTCGGGGCCCCAAGGCATTGGGAAGGAAGAGGGCCCTGCAGGCTGGGGCTGGCAGTTGCAGCGTTCTCCCCTGTGCCTGCTACCGCTCTGTTTCTCCCTCGGCAGAAGACTTTCCTGGAAGGAAGCCCAGGCTCCTAGCTCCCCAGTTCATAAGCTCCCCAGCTGCAAAGCTCGGCAGTGGCCAGCAGGCAGCCACGCCATCCTGCTATTGCCTCTGCCCCTCTGCAGCAGCCACAGCAATGCCCAGCCCCTTGCTGCTGGAAACGGCTGCTCCCTGCCATTCAGACACGCACCCTCTGCAGTCACCACGCTGCCCTGCAGTCAGGAAGTCCTGGGAGGACAGAGAGCAACAGCCCTCGGGCATGGCTGGATACACGTCACTCCCTGCCCTGCCTCTGCCCCGGCCTGTCAGGAGTGCCCCCAGCCCAGCCCCAGTCTGGAAGGATACAGGTTGTTCTTGTAGGAGCCGCTGATGTACCTGCCACTCTCTGTGCAGATTTTCTTCTTGTCCTCTTGGCCAGTTTTCCCCACAAACCGCTTCTTCTTGCGGTCCCTGGAGTGCAGGCAGGGCAGCGGGGTGGAATGGCGTTGCGGGGGAGAGAGAAATGGGGGCTCATCGATCAGCCCCACCTGGAAGACTGAGCTCTCCCCCCAAGCCCCAGGGGCACAAGCAATCAAGCCCCAGCCCAACTGGTTGGTGGAGAGAATCCCACCCTCAGCTGGCACCGTGGCACTCACACCTCCAGCCCTCAACAGAGCAAGGACAGGGTGATCAGGCAAAATCCACCATTTGGTGCTGCCTGCTGGGGAGTGCTCTGTGTGAGGGGCAGCTGTCCCCATGGCCCTCCCCACAGCAGGAGCCTTTTCTCGCTGGACTGCTGCTGCCCCCTACAGGTCAGGCACTTACCACTTGAGCAGCTGCTTGGTCTTGCTCATGTTGTGGGTCTCGTCCCCCAGGAGGTCGAGCACGGCGCCAGAAGCCTGCTGCTCAAAGGCGCTGCCCTCCCTGCCAATGCTCAGCCTGGACACAGGGGAAAGGCAGAAGTCAGAGGAGTTCGGGGAGCTGGGAGAAGCAGGGGATCCCGCCGCTGGGGGCGATGGTCAAAGTGACTCACCCCCGCTCGCTCTCCAAGTCCTTGGGCCGGTAGGGAATGTAGAACTCCTCGTCTCGCTGCACCTCATGCCGCTGCTTCTTCCCGACGCCCTCTCCCACCTGGTGCCGCTTCCGCTTCCTGCCCACCACGGCGGAGAACACTTCCTGGGACACAGATCAGACAGGAGGGCCAGGTCCACAGCCAACCCCCCACCCTACTCTCCAGGCAGGCCCCGCTAAGCCAGCTTACCCAGCTGGTGCCTTGGATACAGATGCCCACCCAACCCCTGCCGCTGTGCAATGCTACCAATTGTGCAAACTGTTCCCTGCCCCCAGCACAGTCACACCAGCCCCCATCTCAACACACAGACCGGCAAGTGTTACCGGGGCCATGACATTAGCCAGCCCTTTGATGCCCCCAGCCATGGGCTGACACTACACAGTGCAGGGCTCGGGGCCAGCCAGGCAGGCTGCTTCCCAGAGTCCCCAGGCAGGCCCTGTGGTGGATGTGGTTGAGAAGCTGGCACCCTCCAAGTCCATACCTGGAGGTTTGCTTCCTCCTCCTCAGGGACAGGGACTGCTGGGTCCTGGCCCCCCAGCGCAGCCCCAGCCCGTCTCTCCTGCTGCCCCCTCTGGTACTTGTCGATGAGGCTGCGGTCGCGGCTCCGCTTGGCTCGCATCACATCGCTGGCCAGGGTCTTGTTGGTGGCGTTGATCTCAAAGATGGTCTGGTCGGAGAGATGGAACCCGTGAGTGACGCCTGCCCCCGGGAGACCCCTCCCCTCGCTCTCCCTGGGCTGGGCTCGCAGCTCAACCTGGCGGTCTCTGGTCCCAGGGGCTGGTGGAACTGTTCATTCAGCACCTGTAACACAGCGAGGGAGCTGGCCCAGCAGCATCCCAGCAACCCTGGTGTAGGTAGGAAGCATCTTCCCAGAGCCTGAGGAGCAGTACTTGCAGCTGAGTCCCAGCTTCCTTGGTTCCCACCTTAAACTCCTGGGCAGCTGCATCTCAGTGAAGGGGCAGCGATCCCTAAAGCACACTCCCTTGCACCATAGAGGTGCTGCGAGGGTTAATGCTACCCCTCCCCCCCCCAGGGGTGAGCCTCATTCTCTGGGCTGCCA